TCATTGAAATATCAGTGAAATACCTAAAAATAGAAAATAATTGTAATTTTATCCTGTGATCTAGGATTAGCATTTTGTTGAAATGTTTTTACTTAGAATAGAATAATAAATAGTATTCTAAAGAACTTAATAAAAATTTAATCTTCCGATAAATTATGAGGACCATTTTATTCAGTTTTAATGTCTCACTATGCAGTGTACTCCTTTATATTTAATATCTCCTATTTATGTTAATATTTAAACATATCTTTTATATCTATTATATCTTTTTTATATCTTTTAAGATAATAGGAGATTATAGAAATAATATAGGTAAACATTTTTTTATATCTTTTAAGATAATAGGAGTATATATAGAAATAATATAGGTAAACATTTTTTTATCATTAAAACTTGTTTGTTTTAGAAACTCTAATAAAGTATACCTTGGATGCAAAGAATCGAACAATAACCTTTAATCGCAACATAAGCAAAAGTTTGCTTGTAGCTATTTTTACCGTTCAGTATATTGGTTTACTGATCATGCTTTTCAATAAATGATGACTGTTACTTCATTAATTTGTTTTATTGCCATTTTTTCACCATTTTATGGTAAGCTTTTATGTAGCATGTTTTTCTTGTCAAAAATTTATATTCAAAAACTACCTTATGAATAGTATACCAATAAAAAGTATTTGCTTTACAATTATAATTTTAAAAAGAAAAAATTTATTTTAAAAGAAGTTGTTATAGCAACAAAAAATGTTAATAGTTTAATAAACACTTCTTAACATGTGTTTTCCCTGCATCCAGGCCACCCAGAGCTTTTATAATGCCCGGGTCCAAAAGTTTAATGGATTCTCTTTCATACTTCAGGTCTTAAAATGATAAATAGCAAATAAATTAGTAGAGCTATTTTTTGTTTACTTTACTTTTTTTAAAAACAAACTATGGTAAAATCTTTCGGCCCTTCGTAGCGGCAAAATTTTAGATAACTTTTTAATAAGAAACGTCATTGGCTAAATCTGATTCAATTGAAAGAATCATCAAGTGGCAAATTTGCTCCTGGTCCATTGTAGAACGAAGATAATCTTTGATAATTGCTAACTTCCTGAGGGATTTTTCACCGTCAGATGTTGAGAGAATGTAAGAAGAGTTCAAAATGAAACACATACTTGTGGAAGTATTGAATGCAGCCCCTTAGCATAAACTTCATTTAGAAGTTCGACACGTTTTAGGCTGGATAGAATATTTCTACTAAAAAAAAATAATTGCCGAACATCAAAAAATTCTTTATAAACTAGAAAATTCGTTTTTAGATAAGTCTTCATATGCCAGATTCTGAACTTTTAAATCTAGTTCTTCGTCTGTTTGAGATTTATAGGAAGACCAAATCATTCGTTTTAGATAAGTCTTCATATGCCAGATTCTGAACTTTTAAATCTAGTTCTTCGTCTGTTTGAGATTTATAGGAAGACCAAATCATTCGTTTTAGATAAGTCTTCATATGCCAGATTCTGAACTTTTAAATCTAGTTCTTCGTCTGTTTGAGATTTATGGGAAGACCAAATCAAGGAAAACTTGTTACATTCCTCTTCTATTACTTTAAATCTTGATCTCATAGACAAATTTGTCAAATTGTCGAGTGCAACATTGAAGATATTACACTCAAAGTTTTTTGATGCTTCTTCGTGGTTGTAGCTAGAAGTTTCATCAGGGAAGACCTTCTTTTTTCGCGTTCTCTTCGCAGTAAACATAATTTCATTAAGTTTCAAGTTCTTTGCGACTTCTGTTGCCTCTATCAGAATCAGGTTCCAAGACAAATGGGCTTGATCCAGATCCGTCAAAAGGATTTGGTTTGGTTTCATCTTCAAAAGAACTTTTACATTTCGTAATATCGTAAATAAGAAAAAAAAAACTTCAAACTTATACTTTATTAGGCAAACAAAAGCCCAATGAAAACGCGTACGTTCAAATGGAAAATGAAAACCTTGTAAAGTAATAATTATCCTATTTTAAATGTAAACAAAGTTTAATAGGAGAACGAAATTAATACGCAAACATTGCTTTTGCTTTAAACATGTTCTTAGCTAATTTTTTTATCATTACAATAATTTTTTTTAATGTATATGTGATGCCCCATCGACTGTGATGCCCGGGGCAAACTACTTCAATTGCCCCTCCCTCTTGGCGGCCATGCCTGGATGCCACTTCCAACTAGAAAATTATAATATTTAGTATCATTTTAAAGATTTTTGTGTTTTTAAACTAAAAAGTTATAAATAAAACAAACTTTACCTAAATAGTCAAACTAGCCAGTAACATACATATACATATATATATATATATATATATATATATATATATATATATATATATATATATATATATATATATATATATATATATATATATATATATATATATATATATATATATATATATATATATATATATATATATATGTATATGTATGTTATATGTATATGTATATATGTATATATATATATATTGGGTGATTCTCCTAAATGCGTTCTAGATAATAAAATAGTACTGGATTTTAAAATTTTTTAAGGGTTGCTACCGACCTTCAAACATTAAATAGATCCTTAAAATTATAAAAAAAGAAAGTTTTCAATAGTATATCCTGTTGGGTCTCAAACGAAGCGAAATTATATAAAATTTCAAAAATAATAATCATTTTATAAAAAAACATCGATAAAAAAAATTATAATCAAAAAATCTTGTAAAATTCCCTATTTTTCGTTTTTAGTTAAAAAACCTCATTTTCTGTTCATTAAAATCTAAAATAATAATTTAATTATAAAATGATTCATATTTTTATATAAGTTTGCATATAATTTGCATATAAAATTGCATATAAACTTGCATATAATTACACTTCATTTGATCCAACATGATATCTTTTGAAAAACTTTTTTTTGATAATATTAGGTGCCGATTAGCAACCCCTTAAAATATTTTTTATTGAAAAATTTTTTAAATCCAGTATTATATTGTTATATAGAACCATTCAAGAGGTGCCAGCAAACATTTTCAACAAAAATTGTTTTTAGAAGCACACACACACACACACACACACACACACACACACACACACAGATATATATATATATATATATATATATATATATATATATATATATATATATATATATATATATATATATATATATATATATATATATATATATATTCAATATATATTGTAGAAGAGATTTCAAAGCATAGCCGGATTTTTTTTTAAATAAAAAATTGCGCTTGTGAATACCTTTTTCTTCCGGAATCACTTTTGGATATATTTATTTTTTCGTTTTGATAGTTTTTTTTTCAAAGTATTTTTCATATAGTTTTTTCTTAGAAAATTTAATAAGTCCTTATTAAATCTTCTAAGAAAAAACAAAAACTATATGAAAAATAATAATAAGTAATCCATGGACTTTGTAGACTTATAAGCTTGATTTTAATTTCCTTCATCGAAATCGTTTCGTCGTACGCATTAAAGAACTCTTTGTAAAAAAATTGATAGACTTTATTATCATCTTTGAATTACGGAGTTGTTTTCAGAGATTAAATAATTTCTAAATCCCTTAATATTCAATTCAGTAATCTCCCTTTTTATTTCTTTATTATTATTTTTTATTACGTCCCCCGAAATGTCGATTTGTTCATTTTTTGCATTTTTCATTAACCATTTTAAGTGTTTTTAAAAACATATTTTATTTCCGTATGATGGTCAATACATGAGTTATTAAAACTTTATTTTTTTTATTATTATTACGGTTTATTAATTCGATAATTAATAATTCATTATCCGCGTTTTGAATGCTAAGAATTTCTTTTTTCTAAAAGTGAATTGTTTTGTGAATAAAAATGCATACACCGCCACCATTGCCACCACCTCGAGTTTGGTGGATTGTTTATAACCTAGAATTTGAAAACTGTTTTTTTCATTTTTGTACAATATTTTGATAAAGCATATTACCATAAACTCATAATTTATATTTTTTAGCATTGATTTAAAAATTTCTAAGTTTTTGAAAAGATTTTGACTTCATTTTAGAAATACGTATGTTTAAAGTTTGTTATATGTGCCTAAAAGTATTTAACACCAACAGAAATTACGTACTTGCATATATATAGCAGAGTTGTTAGTCCTTCGTCTTGGCCTTGGTCTTGCCTTAAGACCAAAACGTAAGGCCTTGGCCTCGAAACTTTTGGCCTTTGCCTTGGTCTTGGCCTTAACATTTTTGGTCTTGGCCTTGATTGTTTTGGCCTTGGCTTTCATAAAAAAATACACAAAATTAATGAGTTAAAACTTTTCATTCTTTATTTTACGCAATTAATTACGTAATTAATCATTCTTTATTTTACGTAATTACTTTATTAACGTAAGACAAAAATTTAAGTCTTTGGTCTTAAAAATGTTTTCGTAGGCGTTGGCTTTGAAACTCTTATTCTTAGCCTCGGCCTTGTAACATGTGCCCTTGTCCTTGGTCTTGCTACTTTTGGCCATGTTAACAACTCTGATAAAAACACGTAGTTTTTGTACATTTATGCATTTTACCATATATGGTAAAATTACTACAAACAGCACCATTTGTTAACGTAAATTTATAAATTGATGTTTAGAATAAAAGTTATTTTTAAAAATGTCTTTTATGTAAACTCTAATGTATAAAGTAATAAGTGTCGCATTATTTTTAACTAGGTTTGTCTTTAAATAACGGAAATTTATAAAGTTATACCAGGTCACACTGTTTAGCATATAAAAAAAATAATAGTTTAACTAGTTTAGTTTAATGTGCAGTGGCCTAGCTACTGTCTAGCAAAAATAGACAAGGCATAAGGGCCCTTAGTTCTAGAGACCTTTGTTGAAAGCTGATACGGGTCTGTTTTGTAGACTAGGCTGTATGAAGTTAGGTAGTTCCTGCCTAACTTAATAAATACATATAAAAATATTTATATGAATAAATATTATATATAATATATAATCATTTCATATATACATGTTCAGTCGAGGAATGTCTAGCATAGCGATAGATCATTGTTTAACATTTTGTCGTAATAACTTTTTCATTGTAATAACAAGTTAATAAATTATTACTTAAACTATGATGGACATTCATTGGAAAGAAAATAAAGTTGTCAGTCTGTTTTAGGGGTTTCAAATAGATATCATTGTTTAGAAATTGAACTTTCAAAAGTATATGTTCTGTTAATGTTGTTTTTTATACGGTCAGAAAATAACTTTCATTTTTGTTATGCAATCATTACTCCACGAAAAAGTTTTACGTTTTACCTGCGTAAAACGTAAAACTTTTTCGCATCAAATTTTGTAGATATCTTTTAGCCAATCCCATAATTTTTTTTTCAACAACCAATTTTTATGCGAAATGGCTTATGGGTGGCGTAGAGGTCATATTTATATGAAAAAAAATTTACTTTCTATTTTTTCTTAATAGTAGTAACGCCGATTGTTACGCTTTTTATGATTTTTGACTAAGTTTAGACCAATTTCCAAGCATTGGCGCGAATAGATTCTAATGTCAAATCCAGTTAATTTGTTTAACGATGTGTTCCTGTACCATAAAAATCACTGTGCTATTAATTTAATAAATATGTTGTGCCTATTTTTCACTGATTATGATAGATAAGTTAATACTTAAGAATTAATTTATCTATCGTAGCCAAAGCTTTGGATAATGTAAAGTAATCTTTTGTTCATCTTTGAGCTTTTTTCCAGTCATGCAAAAACCCTATGATTTTTTACCTCATTTTAGTATTAAATGATATATTGTTTAAAAATACTGCTACTGGAGTCTTGGGTCCAGAATTGTTAACAAGGGCAAAAGTAGAAAGACTAAGGCTAAAGCCACATGTTACAAGGCCAAGGGCAAGACCAAGGCCTAAACCAAGGCCAAAAGTTAAAAGGCCAAGGACAAAGTTTCAAGGTCAAGACCAAGGCCAAAGCCAAAAGTTTCAAGGCCAAGGCCTTAATTTTTGGCCTTAAGTTAAGGCCAAGCCCAAGGTCAAGAACTAACAACGCTGCTTGGATCTAAGAAATCCTAATCCAAAATAGTTTTTTTTAAAAGGGTAAAGGACTATCCATCTTTGGTTGTAAACAAAACTAGATCAAAACGTATCAATGTGATTCAAAAATATATATACACATTCTTTTCTGTGGTTATTTTAGGTGCTCCAAGAAGACCTAATGGTTGCATCACAGAGCACTGCAGATGAGCATTTAACTTAGAAGTTTACGCTTGCTTCATGTCGAAAAAAAGCCTAGAGCAGACATCGAACCACAGACCAATAAAAGATACAGCATTTTTTTTAGTGTTTGAGATAGCTAACAGACATGGCACAAACTCTAAACAATTGCATTTTTATACTTATTTCAAATAATGATGCTTTGGAAGATATTGAGGGGTGTTTAAACTTTACGGACATAATTTGCAAACGTTGAGAGATAATAATATAAAACTTAAAATTATTGATGAATATATACTTAGTTAAAAATAGCAAAAAAATTATTTTGCCAACTTATTGCTCTCACATTTGGTGCAGGATGGGAGGGAGGGATAAAACGTTAGGGTTTTTGTGTTTCCAGCTTCCAATTATTGCATCTTTTTAAAAACCATCATTATTTGACATAAATATAAAAATGCAAAAATTTGGATTTTGTTCCATGTTAGCTCAAAACCAAAAAATGCTGGATCCATCACTGCCATAGATATCTTGTTTCTGAAGCAAATTTGCTTCAGATATCTACGATAACAAGATATCTATGGCAGATATCTTGTTCAGCAATTTGTTAAATACTTTAACAAATACTATTTGTTAAAGTATTTAACAAATTGCTGTATGAGATAAAAAGCATTTAATTCTAATTGATGTGTATTGGGCTTAAAATTAAAAAAAGTGGTTTTTAATTTCATAACGAATTAGTATGTTTTTAAAATACCACTAGTTAACAAAAATAATAATTATAAAAATGCATAGGCATAACAGGTTATCAAAACCAAAGTCTTTTTGAGGTTAAGATTCAAAAACATTCTAAATCACAGGTTTCTAAAACTAAATATTCATATCTTTGGATCTTCAACAAAAATCTCCGTAGGTCCTTCATCCGGAATATTTTTTTATGGTAAACGTTTTGGTTTGTTGCCGGTAATTTTGTGAAAACATTTTATAACATTGACAAACATTGTTTAAACCGGTAAATTTAGTCGCCGGTTAAAAGTTTTAAGAAATCGACCCCTGGAGTTGCGGAAACCGTGCTAGTTTGACTATGGACCCAAATTTTTTAGCGATGCCACTGATAATATGTCGTAAATTCAAATAAGCTTTTTACAAGTAAATCATTTACTCATGTCAAGTAACTTTACTTATAATTATTATAAAAATAAATTTACTCTTAAATTAGCCAGAATAAAAACCTCGTGGTTTAGGTATATTTGTAAACAAGGGGGTTAACATGTTTGATTAATTTTAGGTTTTCTTAAATCAATGTGTCGGTTTTAATTTTATTTGTTTATACTCGTAAACTACTAAATACTCGTAAACTACTAAATACTCGTAAACTACTAAATACTCGTAAACCAGGAGACTACTTAATTACTTCGTAAATAAACCACGAGGTTAATATTTTTAATAATTTTGATTTAAAATTTCTCTTAAGAATTAGAATCTCGATTATAAATTGACCATTTTTGACAATTTTTGTTTTGAACCGAATTAAAAACAAAAAAACTGGCTTGAAGAACCTGATAGTAGGGGGGAGGGGGGTCCAAAATTCTATATTTCTTGTTTATCCATTAATTTTGAGAAAAGTTTAAAAAACAATTCAGTTTTTGCTAATTTTTAATGGTTGACCTTCTACTTCTATTTTAAAAATTTAAAGATATAAAGAATAAAAGTCTTTGCGTATAAAAGTTACGCAACATTTCTTTCAAATTTATGCTATTCAAGTTTTGATTGGGTAAATTTGATTTTTAATCGTTGCGTCTTAGATAAAAAAAAGTTTCATTTGAAGTCTTTTTCTAAAAAAACGTTTTAAATAAGTAAAACTTCAAAAAAAAGTTTTATCTGATGTTTCTTTCTAAACAAAACGTTTTAAGTAATCAAAAAGAGAGATTGCTTCAAAATATCGTAATTTCCTTTTTTTTTTTTTTTTTTTTAATCGTTACTCAAGCTATCAAGAAGGCTATTCTCGCTTTTCTTTAATGAAGTCAAGAATAAATCTTCTTTTAAAGTGCCAGTCAGTAAAAGTTCAGTAAAATTCTAAAAGTTTAACAACTTTAAAGATAAACAGGCTAAAGGAATACCGCTACCTAAAAGACTTTATAAAAACAAACTGGGTGATCAAATTTTGAAATTTTCTGCTTTACTCTAAAACGCAGTGAATAGCTAGTTAAAAAAAATTCTAGAAGCAGTTAATAAGTATACCTCAAAGTGGTTGAATGATTGTATAATTCTTGCTAGAGTATTTTGGCAAAAGTTAGCTTCAGGACTTCAAAAACGAGAAAAGTATTGAGTGTTTGGTTAATGATGGAATAAAATTAGTATTAACAATGAATATAGTTAAAACCAGCTACAAAAACAAATGGATAACAATGGAAGAGCAGCAAACGTTACATCAGGTGTGCAAGATGAGTTCTATTTTTGTTTGATTAAAGTTACAAGGCAGCCCATTTAGCTATAAACTAGACATTATTGAAGTAGATAAAGATATGTTAAAATGAAAAAAAAGTTCGAAAAATGAGGTTCTTTATTTTAGGGATACAGTCTAGGTCATTGTCGCGGAGATCTATTCTGTTTAAATACATGATTGTTGATATAAAAATACAAACCTCCATTTTATGTCTACCAAAAAGCACGCTCATAACCTAGATGTTCTACATAGAAAGTTCCCGCAGCAAACTCTATCAAATATTATGACCATTATAGTCATTTTCCATTTTCAATAGTATATAACAAACTGTATGAATTATTTTCATATATAATGCCTAATTTTTTTGTTACTTATTAATCGTAAGGTATATTATTGATAAATTAAACAGAAAAAGATTTCTACTTTTCTACTTTTCTTATATTTAATGATAATAATAATTTCATCTGTTTTTAAAAATGCCTTTTTTTGACAATAACTTTTATTAAAATCGAAGTAGAAGGCTAAATAATTAAATGAAAAAAAATGATTGTGATTTTCAGAATCAGCATGAAAAATTAATTAAGAAAAATTGGTTAAACTATAAAAAATCTAAAAAAAGGTGATTATGGACCCCCCCCCCCTCCTACTGATAGGTTGCCGTTGAATTCCGTCTGAAATAAAAATAAATTTCGCATACTTACACGTGCTTTTTTGTTGTTGTGATTCTGTTTAAAAGCAGAAAATTTCCAATAAAAATAATAATAACAATAACATTAATGATTATAGCAAGAATAGCACTAATAATAATAATAATAATAAGTATAACTGAAATAAAAATATATAGTATAACTATAATATAATTTTCAATAACAAGTTGAAGGTGTTAATAAACAACTCTTGAAAATGTGAAATATGCTTGCAAACACATGTGTTTGCAAATTTTAAAATGTGCACATTTTAAAAGGTAATTGTTTCAATAATCATTTTGTTAGTTAAAAACTATTTTTATTTTAAACTACTTTAAATAAAACAATGAAGGTAATGGTTACCTATAAAAAATAGATATAAAATAAAATGGAGTAAAAATGAACTAAAATCAAAATTTAAAGCAAACAAAATAGTACAAGTATTAGATCTGTATATATATATATATATATATATATATATATATATATATATATATATATATATATATATATATATATATATATATATATATATATATATATATATATATATATATATATATATATATATATATATATATATATATATATCTATATATATCTATATATATATATATATATATATATATATATATATATATATATATATATATATATATATATATATATATATATATATATATACACACATATATATATATATATATATATATATATATATATATATATATATATATATATATATATATATATATATATATATATATATCAATTATGTTAGTGTATTCTACAAAAAGAGTGCTCTATGTTCTTAAAGAACACAACAATACATTGTAAAAACACATCTAATTTTCTTTAACAAGTTGTTTCACCATCAGTAGGTTTATCAGGAAGCCATTAGGAACTGATGGAGAATCAATCTTGTTTAAAAAAATTAAAGGTTTAAAATTAAAAAGTGTTTTTACTAATTTATATATATATATATATATATATATATATATATATATATATATATATATATATATATATATATATATATATATATATATATATATATATATATATATATATATATATATAGATGTAGATATATTAAAGTTACATATTTTTATTTTAGCTTCAAGTAATAGCAATAAAGTAAGTAAGTCAATAAAGAAATTTGAAGAAAATATTGACAATAATAAAATATCAAATGATGGTTTATTGCATGATATAAATATCAAGTCAGTAGATTCTCCATACACCTCAGAAAGTAGTATATTAAAAAACTTTTTTACTCACAAAAATGCAGCTAAAATTATCACTAAAGGGTTTCAAAATTTACAAAACTTACAAGAGAAGTCACAGATATTAACACCAAGGTATGTACTTTTTACATGGTACAATTAATTTACAACTTTTCACTTACATCTATAATAAATAATTAAAATATTTATTATACATTAAACTTTATTGTTTATATTTAATTACATTTTTAATATTTTGATAATAAGTACTACCTTTACTGTTATTATAATAAATAATACCTTATATTAATATAATTTATTATAATCAAATTAATGAGTAAGCAGAATAATTCTGGCCTTGCACCCCTTGTACCTCTTTTTCATCTATTAGTTGCATAGATGTAAACCTGTTTTGCATTGTTTCCTGCCTAGGACAATGAATGCTGGATTTTCTTGACTCTGCTTATTGGTTTTTGCTTTTAACTAATTAATACTGGCTATGCACCTCCTGTTATCTCCTAATGAGGGCACAGCTCTAATACTCAGTTAAATGATTCTGAAATCAGCTGGTAGTAAAGTTTTCCAAACTCTGTGGTAGCTCTCAGAGAGGCTGATTCAATTATCAGTGACTTTGGGTTGATGAGGCAGGACTAAGGTAACTGCATAGCTCTTAGACTTATTAATCCAAAGTAATAAAAATTATTGAACAGAAAATCACCACCACTTAATTGTTTTAATCTATTTTTTACAAATATTCTATTTCTTCGAAGTAACATTTCATCAAAATCTTATCTTTTGCAAAATTCACCTGATTTACCCTTGATGAAATTATTTTAAGTTTAGCTGTTTTATCTTCAGAGCTCAATGTTAATAGCTATAAATAGCTATTATTCTTTGATTTGCAAAGATTCTAATATTCACATGCTTAGCTTGGGCATATACTTATGCATCAATTAACTTATCTGTCATGAAGTCAGGTTTGAATTTTCTGACTATTTTTTTTTTTTATGTGCTTCTGTTGAGTTCGTCTTCATTCAATCATCTTTCTCGTTGTTCTTTATTGTTTTTTTTTCTTTTCAAGACACTCTTTTTAGATATAATTTCTAATCTAATTTCTTGACAAACCCTTTTTTTTTTGCATCCCTCAGCCAACATTGTTGTTATTGGTTCTCTCAGCCAACACTGTTGTTAATCAACAAATTTCTAACATCTCATAACTTATTCTAAAACTTAATTTACTTAAATTAAATTAAATGAAAAAACAAAATTTTAGTAAAAAAAAATAATAATAAATTGTATGCCCTTGATGTTTGCAATTATGTCTCTATAAATATACAATTATTTACACATAATTATATTGTAATGCTAATTGGTCATTTGTTATAAGAATATCATATGTAACTACTCATAATGACTTTCTATAGGAACAAAGTTTAATTACTTTTAAGACTTTCTGTGAAACAACATTTACATATTACAGATATTCAATAAACTTTTTTTAAAATTGGTCGCCAATGAAATATTAATCAAGAGCATTGCTTGTTGAAGTTTCTTATTTTATTTCTTGAATAATTTTTTGAAATTAATTGTTTGTTGAAGTGAATTATGTTCAATAGTTTGTTTAAATAAACCTTAAAAATTTATTTGTATCAACAAAATATAAAGGTAAATAATTCTTTCAGTTAGTTTTAATTTTTTTATTCAAAATTATAGTTTCTTATTTTAACCCATCTAGATAAATTCTAAAAAAACATCAAAAATATAGGAACATTGTAACTATTTTCTAGCGAAATATATTCTAGCGAAAATTTTGATAAAGATATTGTTGCGCCAACTTATGATGGTGCTTCTATGATGATTAAGTATATTAGAGAGAGCCCAGCAGTTTACCAGTTATGCTTCAATCATGGCATACATTTAGCTGTTTGCAACACACTTAAAAAAAATAATACTTAAATTGGAACATATACAAAATTATTTATATTGTGATAATAAAAATCTAGTATATATTTACCCAGGTCACTGATTAATAACATTTTTAGGGCATTTATTATTAGCTTAATTATTAAGAAATAAGCTGAATATAAGTGAATATATACTGACTTATTTAATAAGCCATAGGCGTGGCAGAGTGAACGTATAGAGACTAAGAAGTTTGGCCATAGAGGCAGCACATGCATCAACTAATATATTTAGCCATTGGCACAGTGAGCATATATCCATCACCTTGAGGTTTTTTTAAAACAAAATTTTAACTACTTTAACATATTTTTTTATTAATATTTTATTACTTTATGTTTCTAATAGCGTTGGCTTTAATTAAATAAAATAATTTAATTAATAAAAATAAAATATTTTGCGTGCTTTTATTAATTAATCAATTAGTTTAGATGGTATCTTCCGGTCAAACATTTTAATATCAATTTAGACAGAATGAACAAAAAAATCAAAAAATTTAATTTCAGAAAGGATGTAAATAATTATTTTCTTCGCTTTAAAATCAATTCGTCCAATCAATATTTAAGAATCAGAGTGCGGTTTCACAAAACTTTTGTAACTCTTGCATAACTTACAGAAATCGTACACATATTTATTTTTTCGTTTTCTCAAACATTTTAAAGTGTTTGCGTAAAGTTAAGTTGGCATAAAACTAATAGTTCCATAAAAAGTTATATTTTTTTTCATTTAAATTATATAAGTTATATATATATATATATATATATATATATATATATATATATATATATATATATATACATATATATATATATATATATATATATATATATATATATATATATATATATATATATATATATATATATATATATATATATATATATATATATATATATATATAGTTATAAACATAAAACTACTTAACTTAATCTTTTAATAAACATAAATTTATTGAACTTGATATTATTAGGGATAATACCTTTTCCCTTTGAACTAAAAGTTTGAGTAGCACTAATTTACAGTTTATTTATTTGTAAGCACACACTAACAAACATTATTCTTTATTAACAAACATTATTCATTATTAATAGAATAAAATAGGAACTTTTTTAGAACTTGCATTGAATTTTTGCCATCTTTTATACAACAAATTGACAAAATGAATAGACTATTTAGTAAATATTAGTAAAAACATATTATTTTTTTTATAATTTTTTTTTTTTTTTGTTAATTCACCTCTTCAAGGCCGAGAAGGCCACTACAGACGAGGAGGCTACTTATTTGTGGTTATATAACCCTCTCTCAACTCTATAACTTCGAAACACGAACCTTGACAAACAAGGCCGTTGCGCAGAGAAATGAGTTGAGCGCGGTACTACCAGGGATGTGGTGGGGATTGAACTTTGAACCTCTTGCTTATGAAGCGAACGCTCTACCATTACACCACTACTGCATGTATATGTATACATATAGATTGCTTAGTAACATTTTAACAGAGTATGCAGTTACTACTGCAAAATGACACTATAGACTATTAGTAAACAATATTTTAACAGAGTATGTAGTTATTACTGCAAAAAAAACTAGATATATATTAAAAAATACTTCTTATTAAACTTTAGCAGTTTAATCAAATTACTTTAATCTATAAGCTATTGTTCCTTAGGCAGTAATATATTACTGCAAAAAAACTATAACCTATAGATTTAACTTCTTTGATTAAACTGCTAAAGTTTAATAAAAAGTATTTCTTTAATTTATACATTTTGTATGTAGTTATTAATGACTACATACTCTGTTAAAATGTTGTTTACTAATTAGTCTATAATGTCATTTTGTATGCATGTGACACTCTATGTATAGGTATGCCTACATTTGTGATAAAGTTTGTAAAATATAATAAACTTTGTAATAAAGTATATGACTATACTTAGTATATATGTGACATACTCTATAGATTATAGAGTACAGAGTTTACTATAGTATAGTATAAAGAATTCAATAATTTATGGGCACATTTTCATTATATTTATCACAAATTTAAAAAAATCTTATCACAAATCTTAACAAAAAAATCAATATATGTGAGCTGCGCCAATATTTTAAAGTTACACCAAAGTTAAGGTAGCTATAACCTAATGTAACTTTTCTTGCTTAAATTATGCTGAGCATTTTCTTAAGAAATTTTGTGAATGCCATAATTTGAGAGTTGGACTTACACAAGACAAATGGCAAGTTTTTTGCGCAAGTCTTGTGAATAAGAAATTAGTAAATTTGGTGTAAGTTCCTAACTTACGCTTAAAAAAATTTTGTGAATCCGCATCCAGATTCTCAGTGGCGCAAGTAGCAAAGTCAAAAACCAAAAATTCCTCCATTAAATATAAAATATTAAATACGGATTTAAAATAGCATTGTTTAATATGGATGAAGATCTGTTATGACATAAGCATCGCTTGGCAAATAAAAGAAAAGAAAAGTGGTGTTCATCAGTTGGTTTGCCTGTGCCACGAGGAAATGCACCTAAAGAAGAGGGCTACGATCAAAGCAAAGAGTTTAGACAAGGAACAAAACAATTTGATTTGCTCAATCCAGCACAAATGATGGCATTTACATGTATCATGCTTGCAACTGAAATTACTAACAGAGTTTCAAAACTTCTCTATCTTGATGGTTCAGGCGGATCGGGAAAAACATTTCTCTATATAACATTAATAGTATATTTTAGAGACCGGTAAAAAATTGTTCCACCTTTTGTTACCACTGGAACCGCTGGAACTGCTACAACATTATTAAAAATAGGAAGAATAGTTCACAGTGGATTTAAATTACCTATCCCATTGCTTAAGACATCTGTATCTTTAATGCGCATGAATTTTATTTATGCAAAAAATTTACATGATGTTACATTAATTTTAATAGATGAAATGACTATGTTACCAAAATATGTACTTCAATGCATTGATTAACTACTTTGTGAAGTTATAGGATGTGAAATTCCTTTTGGTGGAAAATAATTGGTTGTTGGTGAAGACTTTCATCAAACATTACCAGTTGTGCCAAGAGGTAATTGAACTGAAGTAATAGAATGCTCCATCAAATCTAGCCAATTGTGGAACCAATTCATTATTTTGCAATACTGGAAAACAAACCTAAAATTTGTAAAAACTAATTGAAGCTATCTGTTCAATCAAACCAAGATAGAATAGAACCTGTTCTATCTGCCAAGATTGAACCATGGATACATGGTTGTTGTAAGGTTGCATCTCTTTTTATTTTCTTTGCTACCATGGTCACAGCTCAATTGAGCTATCATATCCACCAACCAAAATTCATTCTTGCTTGACTGGTCATTCAGCAAAGTTGCATCTTTTTACTGTATCTGTTCATTCATTTTTTAAAAACTGTTATTCATCTAGTTTTTTTTTTGTACATTAATGTAACTCCCAAGTTAATAGTGATTGCTTGCAGCGTTGTTGGGAATGAATCAGAATTAAAAAACTACATAAAATTTTAAAAGTTTACAAGAAAGTTGAAACAAAGATAATTCTGTGTGCAAAAGGAAAAAGGAAATGAATCATGAAATGTCACTTTACAGCAGAAGCAGTATAAACATGGTGCAGTTGCAACTTAAAAAGTACAATTTCAAGCCTTGTATAATGAATTAAGTGCTCATTTTTGAGGGCATATTTAAAATTTTTTTTTCTTGAAACTTAATAATATTATTATTCGAATGCCTTGTATAACTCATTTTTGACACTTTTTGACTCATCTCCCTTTTCTGTTTGCATACAGAATTATTCCTTCAAATTTATTTTTTTTTTTTTTTTTTTTTTTTTGTAATTCACCTTCCTAAGGCCAAGAAGGTCACTACAGATGAGGAGGCTACTTGTGGTTATAACCCTCTCTCAACTCTATAACTCCAAAACATGAATCTTGATAAACAAGGCAGCTGCGCGGAGAAACAAATTGAGCGCTGTACTACCAGGGATGTGGTGGGAATCAAACACAGAACCTCTCGCTTATGAAGCGAGCGCTCTACCACTACACCATTACCGCAATTGTACTCTACTAATTGTACTATATAGCCAAAGCTTAAAATAAAGAATTATCGATACAAAATGCAAGATTTTGAATTATAGAGAAAATATTTTACTAAATATTTTCTAAATTTTGTTTTATGTTACATTTTTTTCAGGTATGGGAACTACAGTGACACTAAGTCATATTCTATAGAAAATATTTATGGAAAATATTTATGTCTGGAAAAGCTATTGTTTAAACTATTATTTTAAACTGTATCTTGAATCATGCGGAAAAAGTAGTCACGTGGTCAAAACTAGTGCAAAAAAAACTTTGAAAATGGCATCTTCAAATTATTGCCGATCTCATTTTTTCTAATTCCGAGGGTTGCAATTGATTTATTATTTCTAATCTTTATATATATATAATATATATATATATATATATATATATATATATATATATATATATATATATATATATATATATATATATATATATATATATATATATATATATATATATATATATATATATATATGTATATATATATATATATATATATATATATATATATATATATATATATATATATATATACACACATATATATATATATATATATATATATATATATATATATATATATATATATATATTTTTTTTTTTTTTTTTTTTTTTTTTTAATTCACCTCCTCAAGGCCGAGAAGGCCACTACAGACGAGGAGGCTACTTATTTGTGGCTATAACCCTCTCTCAACTCTATAACTCCGAAACACGAACCTTGACGAACAAGGCCGCTGCGCGGAGAAACGAGTTGAACGCGGTACTACCAGGGACGTGGTGGGGATCAAACTCGGAACCACTCGTTTATGAAGCGAGCGCTCTACCACTACACCACTACCGCATATAATATATGTTTAAACTATTATTTTAAACTGTATCTTGAATCATGCGGAAAAAGTAGTCACGTGGTCAAAACTAGTGCAAAAAAAACTTTGAAAATGGCATCTTCAAATTATTGCCGATCTCATTTTTTCTTATTCCGAGGGTTGCAATGCACATGATATATATATATATATATATATATATATATATATATATATATATATATATATATATATATATATATATATATATATATATATATATATATATATATATATATATATATTGTAAATGCTGTTTGTTTAAGGATCTGTACGTTATTTATTGAAAAAAAGGTGTTTGAAGTTACTTAGCAAAACTTTCACGGTGATATTTGGCTCATAGTATTTACTATGGAAAGCAAAAATACTTTTATAAAGTTTATTTTTTTACTTATTTGTAATAATATTAAAAAAAAAATTTATTTTTTACGTAAAAAGTTAACAACAATTTTAACAGCATTTTTTTACCCAAAAAATGAGAGGGCTACTGCGTTGGCTTGTTTGTCGAACTCTACTTGCTACCAGCTAAAATTATTATAGAATTACTGGCTTAAAATTCATGGTAAAATAAGTTAGTAAAAAAATAAATCTATGCACTCAAGAATAAATTATTATTATTTTTTATAGTATGTGCTAACTTATCCTGTGGTGATTGGTGAACTTTTTTATAAAACTCCAGAAGGGTAACATTTTTATAACGAATGCAACTTGAACAATCTGCATAAACTCTACATAGACTACACTATAATGTTTTCAAAAAAACGTTGTTAGGGTTGTAGCTCATATGTATATATATATATATAAATATATATATATATATATATATATATATATATATATATATATATATATATATATATATATATATATATATATATATATATATATATATATATATATATATATATATATATATATATATATATATATATATATATATATATATATATATATATATATATATATATATGCAGGCTGTTGACTATATATCTATTAACTTGAAATACTGTGGCAATATTCTCAGGAATCAACCTCCCCCAAAATAAAAATTTAATAAACTGACTACCAAAAGCACTATTACCATAAAGCTTCCACTATCAACTCTAACCAAAGAAAATTTCACCACAAATTACAAAATTAATGACTTTAATATGGAGTCTTATGTATTCAGGTTAGTTCATTGTTAATTAATTAACCTGAATACTTTTGTTTATAAATATGAAAAGCAAATAAAATGAGTTTAAAGATTTCAATCACAAGATGTTTTTTTATTTATATCTTTTATATAAACCTATTTAATAATAAGTAATAATTACATTATATAATAAATAATAAGTAATAATTACATTACGACATCTAACAATGGCTGGTTTTCAAAAAACTAAAAATTTGAAAACCAAAAGCATTTCCAGGTATCACTTGATTCGAGCCTTGAAACTATTTTGCATTTCAAGAATTGTTATAAGAATTATAATAAAGAATATATAAATACAATTCCAATCTTAATACACATTAAAAGATGTATTCACATATACATTATTTATACATAGATTTTTATTTACTCATGTGCTATCGTACATTGTATATATGTACTATAAATTTACTTTACTTTAGATCTTGGAAACATGCTGGTAGATCAGTAAATCTCATTACTCGAGATGGAATTGATGGTCCTGATGGTAAGGAATCTGAAAGTCTTTTTCAAATTCCTGTAACTGCTGAAATTGTGCCTTTGCCACCAGCACCTCTGCCAATTGGTAATCATATGTATATGTATATATATATATATATATATATATATATATATATATATATATATATATATATATATATATATATATATATATATATTATAATTGTTGTTTTTGTAGTTTTATCATTATTATTAATAATATTATTATGATTTTAATAATAAATAATAATAGGATTCTTTTATTTTAACAATGGTGATAATGAGCCAAGCTAATGATGGCCTTTTTTTTAAAAGGTAGTTCTATTTACAAGGAGGTTTTTGTTTTTTCAAAACTCAGAAAGCTTTTTTTTTGTTTTGTTTTGTTAATTATTCCCTTTTTTTTTAACTTGTTTTCTTTGTTTTTTTGACTTAAAATTTTGAAAATCTTAACCCTGATGTACACTTCTTCCTAAGTCAGTTGACGTAAATATGCTCCCTGAATGTTCTCCCTAATTCAGGGAGATTTTAATTTTTTGCATAAAGAATTAAACATGTTTTTGTTTTTTTTTTAATTTGTGGTTTTTTAAAAAATGATAAAATTAAATTAGTTTCATCAATTAAATTTAATAGTTTTTACATAAAGTTTACTTTATTTTCTCATCTGTAAACACAAATGGTTATTAAAGCCGTTTTTTACCACAAACAGTAATCACAAAGTCTTTTATATATATATATATATATATATATATATATATATATATATATATATATATATATATATATATATATATATATATATATATATATATATATATATATATATATATATATATATATTAGGGCTGTACCAGATTTCAGCTCCAACTCCGGCCGAAATCCAGCCATTTTTACAAATCCGGCTCCTGCAAAAAGTTAGCATATCCGGCAAAATTTTAGTCGGATTTCTGAATTTTGTTCAGACCCTTATTACATTTTTTTTTGCCCGTGTTTTAATGTATACTTAATATTTTATTTATTCAAATCAATGTTCTTTGTAATTCTATATTCTATGAACTCCCTGTTTGTAATGGTATCTGTATTTACATTTTTTTACAATTTAATTAGTTAAGTCTAATTTCAAATAACAACTCAACAAAAAATTCTGAAGGGAATACATTTGGTTAAATATACATTCAATAAAGTTACATTGCAGAAGGTGTCGATGCAAGATGGCGATGCAAGATGGAAGTCAATCTGAGCATGCTGAGCAGCAGACAAAATTGAAGATATTCCAGCAAAACAAGCCCAGCTGGGTAATTCTTCTACATCATCATCATTACTCTGACAATGTGTTGATTAAATTATTCAGACTATGTCTGCTGGTGGCACAGCACATGAACAACAACTACCAACACACATTGACACTTAGCTAAGCCAGTATCTGGCAGAACCAGAAGTAAAGAGACACGCTGATCCATTACAGTGGAGGAGTGATAAAATGAAACAATTGCCAGCTCTGGCAATAGTAGCTCGCATTTATTTGGGTGCCCCACCAACAAGTGTACCATCAGAATGTTTGTTCAGTGTTGATGGGGAGGTTCTCAATGATCATCATAATTCACTCTTGCCACATAATGCATCTCCCATAGTTTTCTAAAGTGCAATTCTAAACTGATTGAAGATACTTTAGAAAAGTAACTAAAACTGAAGTTACTTTAGTTCACTTTCAAATTGAAAGTGTAAAACAAATTGAAATTTATCAATTATTTTGTTATGTTATGATATGTTATGTAAAATTGTGTCCTCCTATTTTAATAATAACAATGAAGTTTAACAGAAAATAGTTGTCACTTGGTGACGATTGTTAATATCAAGTAGGGATGTACAGGATTTCAGCTCCTGTAACTTTGTTTTAAAATCCGGCCGAATTAGTCTGTAGAAATCCAGCAAATCCGGTGCAACCCCTTTATATATGGCTTTCTATTGAGGTTGGTTGTAAGCAAGTTAAAGAAACAAGCAGCTTTTTTAAATCATTTGTAATATTTCCAGTATTTTTATACATTTGAAATTCTTTTTTGAAGTCTTTGTTAGAATCTTTAGTCATAAAATCTTTAACTAGGTCAATTGTTACTTCAGCTGCACAGCTTCCATGAATTTTAACCAGCCCTAGATTAATAAATAACTTATTGAAATGAATATTAATATTCAAATATCATCGGTTGCGTAGACTTATCCATTCATCAAGCGTTTGACTAAATTTTCCACTTTTTTCTTTATGTGATTTTATTTTAACAATAAATTCCTTTTTTTGCCATAGCACAATATTCATGAATTAGTTTCATCACTTTGTTTTTATCTTTTGGGGTATGATATTGTTTTTCACTTAATGCTTGATGAATGAACTCACTTTTGCATATTATGTGAATTGAAAATACATCAACGGTTGCAAGTTTGGCTACTATCTCTGTTAAGGACTGCTTCTTAGAAAAAAATGATGCAAGAGACTTACTTATTTTTTGATTTAGGGATTGTCTCACAGTTACTTGAACCAGCCCTTTATTATATATATATATTCTGATTCACTCCCAACCAATGGCTGCAAGCAACCACTATTGAGTTGTGAATTACTAGAAAGAAAAAAAATTATAGAGCAATAGAGAAAGAGTTATAGAGTAAGGAAACGGTTGACAGAAGACTTAAAGATTATATGAATCAGGAAAACATGAAAATGGGAGAGAGTTCCGAAGGGTTGAAGTGCAAGGAAAAAATTAAAAGTATGAGACTTTGCTGAATGATGAGTGATAAAGCAAGAAAATGAATTTTAGTTAATGAAATTAAAGATGATAGCTCTTTTGAGCAGCAACCATAATAGTATTTGTAGAAAAGAGGAAGAAAAGCTTTATGGCAATGGGAAAGAGGTGGCAAAAATACCCACCCAATAAAACCCAATAAAACCCCCCTAAAAAAAATCCAATAAAACCCGGGGAAATTTGGGTTTTATTAGGTTTTTGTTTAGATATTAAATAAGTTTATGAACTATTATAACCAACTTTAACATTATAACTATAATATTATTAACTAAAATAATTATCAACTAGTATTACTAACTAAATTATTATTAACTATTATTATTAACTATTATAACCAACAATAGCAGCTATCAGAGCAGGTTTACTAATATTTCAATCATTATTTGGAAATACATTATTACAATTTTTATTCAAATATTTTTATCGATTGAGATTTTTTAATCTTTTATGTTATTCACCTCCCAAGGTAAATGAGTAGTAGTGGCCAGAGAAGCTCACTACAGTCGAGAAGGCTATGTTAATGTGGTTTCAACCCTCTCTCAACTCTTTAACTCCTAAACACAAATCTTTATAAACAAGGCCGTTGTGCGGAGAAACAAGTTTGTTCATTTGAATTTCAAGTTCAAAGTTTAATTGAAACTTCAGTTACTACCTCCTGTTCTCTAGCCTTCTTTTTTCTCATTTCTCATCGACATTTTTAGTTATATAGATTAATACTTTAAATTTAAAATAAATCAATACATATAGATTTAATGTGACATTTTTTTTCTTACAGTTTTAAGTTATAATTAAAAATCATTAAATATAAATCATTAAATAACAATATATAAAATATGTTTTAAATAAAGTTAATTCTAAATATTTTGGTGAAATTAAGAAATATATGTATATACAAATTTTTATTTATAAGTTATAAAAAATTTTAGTTATACGACCAGCACCTCTTATACAACCCTCTGGAATAATAAACTATCCTGATATCATTGTAACTAATAATCTTGTCAAAACTGAAACTTTACCTGCAAATAATGTCAGACTGAAATCACTCGAAGATAGTGTTCAATCATTAATCAATAAAGTTGATAGTGGCGTGCTTGACCACTCTGGAATTGATGAAATAAATATATTGATTGATGTAATGAATACATTGAAGTCTAAAATAGATCTTTTGGATCAAAGTTTTGAACAAAATGGAGGTTTTTTTTTTATTCTATATTTTTTTCATTTTTATAATTTACATTATGACTTTGTAAATGATTCTGTAGTTATTTTTACTTTTTCTTGTTTTGTTAACTTCACATATATTGATTTTATAAAAACAATCATTTGCTTTATAATTTTTTTAGGTGGTATTGTAGAAGATTCAACTAATGAAGCCAAACAGCAACAAACCAATGAATATACAGACTACACAAACAGTTTACTTATTTCAGAAATGAACAGATTTGAAACAGTTATTAGGATTCTTTCTAAAAAAATTGATGGTGAATAATTTATAGTTCTTAAAATTTATATACCTATTTATTTAATTTACTTTTTTATGTTTATATTTATTTTTTCATAACTTAAAAAAAAAACTACTTTTTTCAAATTTTTATTTGTTTATAGACTTACAGTTAGAAATTGAAAACAGACCAACTGAAAATGACACATCCAGTTTGGTGAGAAAAATAACGTCATCCATTGCAAGTCTCCAAAATATGATTGTAAATATCTCTTCAAAGATTGATGGCAAAACAAATATAACAAAAGTTTTAAACTCAGAAAAATTTCAGGATACTGGGGGTCTTGTTTTACCTGTTAAAAATCTTAATGATTCAATGTCATTTTTTGGTGTTAAAAAAAATTCTTCAAACATTCAGAAAGTTAATTCCAAATTTGATACACAAACTGGAAATCTGACAAAACGATTAAATGATAACCAATTGGAAGATTCATTTAGATTATTAGAAGCAAAAGTTCAAAGTCTAGAGGCAAACTTTTCTATATTTCAAAAACAAGGAAAATCAAAAAATGTAACCCATACTGAAAAAATATATTTGGCTGACAAGCAAAAAAATCTAACAGAAAAAGCAACAGCTTTAAACAAAAGCATTTCATTGTTTACAGACACTGCTAAAAAACTACATGAAATACCTCTTTTTGTATCTGCTTCACCAAATTTAATTAGTTCTTCATTGGTTGTGCCTCTACAACCCAGGCAAACTGTTAATTCAAAATATAATCAACCTAATCTTGTTCGTGATCTTTTTGATGTTAAGTTATTAAAATTATTAAAGAAGTTATTAAAAAGTCAAGCAGATTCTTTAAACAAAGTTAAAGTCGTTACAACACCAAAGTTAAACAGTGCAAGTGTATCACAGCTAAACACTGCTCTAGTATCACAGCTTGACACTCAAAGTAGTTTAATAAAGAACACATCTGTAATGGAAGCAGATAAAAGTGAACTTCCATCAAGTTTATTTAATCAATTTTATCCATTTGTGTCCTCAAACTTGTATAATGATTCTTTAAAGCAGCTGATCTCTAGTCTTGCTCAACTAAAAATTGATCCAGTAAATAATATTTCTTCTACAAAGGTTTCAAATTCTTTAGTAGGCCTAAAATTAGGGTTAAACATTTTAAAAACACTTTCTATTGCCGCACCCTCATGTTTAAATGTCTTATTACCAAGTTTAGTTACTGCTTCACAAGAAAAAATTAAGCAGCTAGTCAAGCAGTTGTCTTTATGTAGTAATGGTATTAGTGAAGTAAATACAAGATTGGATTGTAAAGATTTGGTTCCTTCTTGTATTCATAGCTTTTTGAATAATTCAATAAAAATGTCTGAGAAAGAAGGTCTTCAATCGCCAAACAAGTTTGAACATGATTGTAAAGATTTAAAAGAATGTAGCGGTTATCATTTAACTTTATTGAAAGTTATAAAACGAAATGTTGATCAATTTACAGAAACAAGTAATGAAAAGGGACAGGGGAGCAATCTCAATGCCTCAAACAGTTCTGTAGATGGAGCTGAAATAAAACCAATATCATTAGATCAAAATCATTCTGATGAATCCAAAAATGAGAGTATTGATTCACGATTTTTGGAAATAAATAATAAAAATGATTATTCTGTTTTCGGCAGTTCACTTACTCGTCAAAATTCTACAGAGAGTTTAATAGAAAGAATCAGTCGCATAAAGGAAGAATTAAAAAAACAGTTTACATCTCCTGAATCGTCCGGAGATGGAGAGCATTCTCAAAGTGGAAAAGAGAAAAGTTTTGTTATACGTCCAATAAGTTTATTTAAACAAGCAAATAGAACATTAGACATCTCATCTTTAAACTCATTAGGTATTGAGAGTCCATCAACAACAATACCTATAGCTTCAGTTGGGCCTCTGAATTCTTTAAAATCTAGTGACTCTTCTATTGATCAAAGTTCTTATGTAGATAGTTTGATTCGTGCTATTCCAAATCACAAAAATGAAACACTTTACCCTAAGGTTGTTTCAGAATCTCAAGATGTTTATGGACAAAAGTCGAAGTTACCAGGTTTGTATCTATATATATGTTGTATTATGTATATATATGTATACACACACAGTGTATACATATACATAATTAAGTATGTTACACATTAACTTATGTAGTAACATATGCTATACAATAATTGTGTATTATATAATAAAAAAATATATATTGTATATGTAACTAATAGTTTGCCAGTTTTATATAGCTATATTAAAATATATTCTTTTATTTCAGATTTGCAATCACCTGAATTACATAATCTTTTAGTAGATGTATTAAACTCTAAGATTGGTATCAATACTATTTCTCCAAAAGTTGATGGTAATTGCTTTGTATTATAAAATATATTTGCTTTGTATGAATTAGTTTACAACAAATAAATTAAATTAGTTTATCAATGGCCACACTGACATCAAATGATACCTACTACACTGACATGTCAAGTAAACATAAAAAAATAAAAAATTTTGATTCCAATATGACTCATTTTTTACTAAAAATAAAAAAAAAACATTTTCACAAGTTTTTTTAAATATGTTTTTTATAAAACATATATAATTTTTAAAACTTTTACCTAATTTTGCTTTTTTTGAGTACCAGGTTGACCTATTTTTGAAGAACTTTCTTTTATATATTAGGGACTCTTTAAATGTTCTCAAAAAATATTTTTTATTCAAAAAACTTTTAAATCTAGTGTTATTTTATTATAAATAACACATTTATAACTCAGACAAGTTATTTTATCCAAGTTTTAATTAGTTTTCAACAAATCTTAGTTAAAAAGTTCTTTTTAAGTTTATAAACTTCATTTTTTATGCTGTTAAATATAACATATTTATTTTTATATAATTATATATATAACAATATAATTATAAATATAACATTTTATAAAAATTTCATATAATTTTGCTACATTTGAGATCGAACATGGTACACTTTTGAAGAACATTTGAAGGGTCATGGGTTTCTCCAAGACCCTTGACCCAAACTCAACCATATTTTTTTCAAAAAATTTTCAAAACCAGTGTTTTTTATCATATAGAACACATTAAGGGGGTGGCGGCATATATTTTTTTAAAATGTTGTTTTTCAAGACACCCTATTATATATATATATATATATATATATATATATATATATATATATATATATATATATATATATATATATATATATATATATATATATATATATATATATATATATATCTATATATATATATATATATATATTCAATGAGCACCGGCAAATCGAAAATACTAAATTTAGCCAAAAAATCTTTTTTTTCCTTGTGTTACAATCTAACTATGGTGAGGCTAAAAAAAAAATAGTTTCTTTTATTAAATTTCTTTTACTAAATACAGAGTATATATATATATATATATATATATATATATATATATATATATATATATATATATATATATATATATATATATATTATATATGTGTATATATACTCTGTATATATATATATATATATATATATATATATATATATATATATATATATATATATATATATATATATATATACTACCTTATAGAGTGCAAGATGATTGGAAAAAGTTTCTTCACAGGGTGTAACAAGGTATAATATTGCCAAATAAAATGGTTTTCCAGGACTAAAAACCATAATTTCTCTTTTTGTGCACAAAATGGCTTTAGCTGGTTTGAAATCTGTTGTCTATAAAATTCTTCTACTTAGAGAACATTTTGGAAGTGCTTTTCATTCTCAGCTTACACCTAGAAAGTCATGGCACACCTTCATACCATGCTCTGCTGTCTCATTTACCACCCGTTTGTCGACAACCAATTTCATGTTTTGATAATCTTTCTTGTTAATCCAATCATGTGCTAGAATATGGAGGAATTTATAGAGCATACTAAAAATGCTTAAAAATTTAAATGAATCCAGGTCAATTAGGTCAACTAAAGAACCTTATTCCGTTGTATTATATTCATTTTCTAATCCTTATATAATCATATTCTATTGTAGGAGAACAATAAAAATTCACATTACACATAAACTAGTAAACTTTAAAGAAGGCAACAAAATTTTTTTTTTCAAATAAGTTTTATAGTAGCAAAAATGGTTTCACCCACAATCCCAACATATTGGATATGATTTTAAAAAAATGAAAACTTTGCAAGGTCAGAGCTACCACAATTTTTGCATAATCTTCATGAAACTTTACAGGGATGCTTTTTAGACCAATATGCAATACTAAAATTATAAACAGCCATCTACAATAAAAATCAAATTTTCTTAGGGGCAGCTGTTACACCCTAATATATATTTGTTATACTATATATATATATATATATATATATATATATATATATATATATATATATATATATATATATATATATATATATATATATATATAATAAAGTAAATGGAAATTATATTTTCTGAGTAAAGTTTGCATATTTTTATCACACTTAGACTTAAATTTTTAACCTAGACTTTTAACTTTTAACCTAAAAAAAAAAAGAAAAAACTTTTCATTATATTTATTTAGCATTTATCTTTTTAGTTTATTTTTATAGGTTTAAATTGTTATAAATATTTTTAATGAAGATAAATTGTTGGTTTATCTGCAGTTTTATTCGCAAAAAAGTAAACAACTTGTTTTCTCTTTTTAAACCACATTATTCATATAAGTTAATGATTGTTTAGTAAAAATATATATTTTATATAACTCAAGCTAAATTTTATTATAATAATATATAAGTATATAAAATATATAATATAATAATAAAAACAAATAATAACAATAATAATGTATATAAATAATATATAGTATAATCATAACAAGATAAATATATAAATTTTTAATTAATTATAATTAATTTAAGCTAAATATAAATTCAAAATATAAAGTCAAGATATTATTAAATATAAAGAGATAATATAAAAGTTAAAAAACAAAGCACTGAAGCTATAACACCATTTGAAAAATAAATGCAAAACATATTAATTTTGTGATTTAGGGTTTGAATTTAAATTTTGTCATTATATAAATATAAATATATGTATATATATATATATTTAATAATTTACCAATTATTAATTAACATTATTTGAGTAATTTACAACTGACATAGCTCATATCAGCGTAAGGCAGAACCATTTTCATGGACATTTTTTAATTCAACACAAGTTTTTAGTTATTGACACAAAATAATAATACTTCATCATTCTTTAAATTTACAAAAATATCAACAAAATCTATGCAATATTTCTTAAACATTAACTTTAATTAATTATTAAGATTAATATGAAGTTAACTTATATTAAACAGGAGTTATTAATTTTTCTTTAGAAAAGAAAATTGTTATCTTAAAAACGTTAAATGCACACTACTAAATAAATTTATTAAAAATAACTATAAAATTTACAATCAAACATATGTATAACAAATTTAAAAAAGTCAACTTTGATCTTTTATATTGCATTAATGCGTTATATGACATGTGAACAATTGTGACATGTGATCTTTTTAAACTAATAAAAAAAAACTTTCGGTAGGATAATTTTTATTTTTCCGCTACTGACTTTCGGTAGGCTATCCACTGCGTAATAATAAAAGCTTGAAAACACCTAGACCTAAAGCAGTAACAGTTTGACACTAAACACTGCTGTGTAACCCTTTGCAGTAAGTACATGGCTTAGCTGGCAAGGTTGATAAATCTTGCTTTACACGTTTACCAAGTCACAGCACTTGAAAACATGGAAATAACATAATATAAATATATAAACCAACTATAAACACAATATATATATATATATATATATATATATATATATATATATATATATATATATATATATATATATATATATATATATATATATATATATATATATATATATATATATATATATATAACCTTATATACACATATTTAAACACATTTATAAAACAATTATATAACATATTAACACATACACACAATAAAAAAACATGTTACATTATTATAAAAACACATTGATAAAACAGCTATAAAGCACATATTACAATATACACATAATTATCAAAAAAGCAATACAAGTAATAAACATATATAACTTGAATTGTGCAAACAAAATTTTTTAAAATGGCATGAGAAAATTTAAAAAGATTCAAAGTAAACAAAATATATATATATAAAATATAAATATATTATATATATATATAAAATATAAATATATATATATATAATATATATATATATATATATATATATATATATATATATATATATATATATATATATATATATATATATATATATATATATATATATATATATATATATATATATATATATATATATATATATATATATATATATATACAAACATTACTCTTTACCTTTTTTTTTCGCTAAAAGAAAAACTAAAACAAACAAAATGTAAACAGTTTAAAAAATCAAAAGGAGTGATCTTTTCTACTTTATTTTTAATAGAAATGTTGTTTATAAATTGCTAAACTATTTCCTATACTTACTTCAATTATAATATGATCTTAAGGATGATTATTTATCTTAATACTAGC